CTCTCTCTCTCTCTCTCTCTCTCTCTCTCTCTCTCTCTCTCTCTCTCTCCTTATCGATCGATGAATCTAACGAAAGTGTGATTAATAGCGAGGAATGTCAGAAATACACGTGCATATTGTCATAAAACACTGGTAATGAGGTCGATGAATATAATGAAGAGATGTCATTGGTAAAGGGTTTTTTTCAAAACTCGCTCGTTGAAGGTGACTCCTAGTTAATGCGGTTGATGAATATGATGGAAGTGCATGAAAGAAAATAATGGAGTGTATTGGTTTCAACTACGTAAATTACTAGTTCTAATAAGCACCTACTAATTCTAATATGCACCCCGCTCTTTTAAGGTAACCGTTACTGCGGATTACTACAACAAATTGAATGCAATGAACATGACTAGAAATGGACGTATTGAAACATGAGCTCACATAAAGACATGGCGCGTTGTCATGTGCAGCGCAAACGACAATGGAGGATAACCGGAGGTGCAAAAATGGATAGACCGTCCGCTTGGCAACAACGAATTTGACGGAGAGAGAGATGGAGACCCTCACGAGATTGCGAGTGAAACTTGGGGATAGCGACGTCATAACAAGTTCATTCAACGAAGATACAAAAGAAGAATTAACGATGACAGTCAACGATTTTAGTTTACTAATGATAGAAAAAAAGTGGTTGAACGAGCAGATAGTTAATTTTTATCTTAACCTTGTCTGACTGGACAATGAGAATCGTGTGACGCACCATAATTGCGATTCGAAGAACGAAGACATCGTTAGAACAGGAAAGGGGCGCATTCCTACAATAGCAGTTCTAAGCTCTTTTTTTTTTGCAAAACTATTTGATAGCGATATGAAGTTCAAGTACGAAAAGGTTCGCAGCTGGTTCACAGAGGTCATGATTAGCGACATGAATTTGATCATTGCACCTTTTCACGTCGCGCACAACCAACATTGGACACTCGTAGTGGCAAACCTTAGGCGTATGAAATTTGAGTACTACGATTCGCTGACACCGGATGTTGAACTCGCGGCGAAGGTGACAGAGGGGTTCGCAAGATTTCTGTACATGACGTCGGTCGAACAAGGTCAAGCAATTGACACGAAGAACTTCAACCATATATGGCAAGTGGAAGGCATTCCAAAGCAGCGCAACTTCAACGAGTGCGGTGTGTTTATGCTGACATATGCATCACTATTGGCGAGATGGTTTCTTCCATCTTTCACGTTCACATCAAATAACACAAAGAAAATACGATCCCGGATAGCTTTCGACGTAGCTGTTGTGGAGTAGACGAATTTGTTTCATTTACAGTATAGACGTTCAAACACATGAAATGACCATATAGTGATCAGAAATAAATATGATATAGGAGAAGAATAGTTTGTACGTGTAACGAGGATTAATTATGTGGTTCACGATGAATGTAACTGGTCGTGCAATAAGGACATCTTATGAAAGGTCATCTTATCTCTTACCTATTACTCCTCTCCTCCTTACCTCTTACCCCTTACCCCTTACCTCTTACCCCCTACCCCTTACCCCCCTTACCCTTTACCCCTTACCCCTTACCCCTTACCCATTACCCCCGTACCCTTTACTCCCTTACCTTGTCACAAATTATTCGTAAACCACGGCAGATGTGAAAAAAAATGGAGTTTCAATTTTGTTCAAAAAATAAAAAATGTCCGTTTTGGCGAAATAGTTGTTTTTATGGGCCTCGCTCTGGTGGTCTGTGGACATGCACAAAGGATAAATATCATGGCGGTGTATCTTTCCATGTTCTATATATATACATTGTGACGATATATATATCGAGCTTTAAATCAATGTCCTCAAAAGCAGGGAGTATGCCTTCGTGTTTCTACAAGAACACCAAAAAAACCCAACTCAGCTTTACGCAAAATAGCTAAAGTGAGATTAACCAATCGAAAACCCTTGGAACCTCGACCTTCCACCATTACTGATGGGGTAAGACTATGCCTTCACCATATTCACTACAGTCACCTGTAAGAACTTAGGTACGAGCCGTATGAATGATGTGTGCAAGAAAGACAAAGAGTCAGACACATATATATATATATATGTTTGTGACGATATATATATATATTTAAAAAAAGGTAAGCTATATTCTTCTCTCATCTATTTCATCTTTCCTGGTAGTACGCATCTATCTCATCCTCGCACTAGAGGATGAGATATTATCATTTGTTGGAGTTTCTAAGCTGCGCTATTCTGGACTTTGCATCTCTGGGGAGATGTCCCACTTCTCGAGGTTTTGTTTTGGTTTCGAGTGTACATGGCTCCTTGCCAACTGATCTGAAAATCTCACGGCCCTAGTGTGAGCACGTTGGAAATACAACGAAACCCCGGCTTGGGGGTCATGGCCCCTGGTCTCCACTGTGGACTTAGTGTGATCTCGCAATGTGTGTATGTGTGTGCTCAAGGTGACAAGCAGTGAGACTCAATGCAAAGTGCTATTTCGAGAAAAAAAAAAAAAGGAGTATTCCTTTCAAAGCCTGCATCTGGACTTATTCATGGAAACGTGCGTAATCATGGCACTGCATCTTTATCATGGTCTGGCAGCAGATTCACAGATACAGTAGCTCCCAAAAACTCATTTGTCCCCATGGCAACACATACCCAATAAAAGCTGTTACAATCATTAATAATAAAATGACCACTCCAAGACACCACACTAATTCTGGTGGACTGGCATCACTCCCATAATAAATACCACAAAAAATATGAAGATAAACCACAATAAAGAATAGAGTGAACTTTCACACTCTTGGTGATTACTCGAGTCCGAACCGTACGAGATAGTCACCTATCATACGGCTCACCACTATCTTTTTGCAATGGTCTGGCTGCAGATTCACAGATTAGATTCACTATGCCTTTGCACATTTCGAGAGTAGTGGAGAGAGGCCCAATAAATGCACTTTCCCACCTTCCACTGTCACACAGACTAGTAAACTATACTAGTCTATGGCATGTGCGGCGAGTCCCCTGGGCGTGTGGCTGAGTTCCTCTAGCGGTACTGTACTTGAAGCCACGTCTACAGTCTTCCCCCGAATACAACGTACGGTCATTATAGCTGAATTTAGACTGCAAGATAGACCAAATTCGGCTATAATGACCGTGCGTTGTATTCGGAGGAAGACTGTAGGTGGGAGCACAGGCCCCGGAGTGTGTTTCGCCCCTATGGCGGCTATGTTTTTTGTCTCAAGAGCATGAACCGAGCCGGAAGAGCGGCATGGTTCGTACTTTCGGTAGTGCCGCCACTGCAGACCTTTCAAACCTCGCGGGGCTGGATTCAAATCTCTCGGCAGGAAAGGTTTTTCTACTCCTGTAGTCACGTGACGTGGATCTTCCACCACGCTTAAGCGGCTCAAGGCTTCCCATTCCCACTTTCCCCGGCTGCGTTGGCAATGTTTGACTTTGGCGAGTCGCCTGGGATATGTTTTTTCCTCGTTTTGTGATTTCGTTTTTGGAACGAGGTGATCACGACTTTCAAGCCAAGCACTGGTGAGAAATACTGTTCTGTGTGAGCTTTCATTTTCTTTCTCTTTTTGGACCAATTGCAGGTGTGTTGCTTCAGAGAGCATGCTGATATTCCATGTCCCACTTGCCTGCAGTCTTCATTCTGTTGGACCCTCTACTTCAGAGACCAGTGGCCCTACACACGATCTGAGTGTACCAGTACTGCAGCTCTACTAGAAATAGAAAGGAAACTTGCTCCCCCTAACCGCCACAGAGCATAAAGCTGACCAGCGTTGCCGGTTTGAAACAACTCAAACCCCCCCCGAGTTAGGTCGTGCTATTTTTTTCCCGGGAACGTAACAGGATTTGGGCCGAAAAGAGCCGTTGGGGCCGAAATGGACGAGCCTCTTGTGACTCACTCAGGGCCACCCCATCCGAGCACATGATTGCTGGATAGAGGCGGACCTCAAACTTAAGTGACTGCTACGAGCGAATGACATTGTATAAAACCGAACGGAACTGCCAGGGCCGGGCATAGACTAGACAAGCGTACTTAGATCACGCACACACTCGCAATCGGTGCTCTCGTTGCGTGCACACGGATAGCAGAGACGTTAAGGAGTGGGGCTTTGAACGGAGGAGCAGCCAGGTGCGCCTCACCCCTGCCTTTCTGTCTTCCAAGGAGCGCGTTTCTTTGTGCACCGTGAAGCTTGTTGAGGGGGAGTGGAGGCAGAGGTCGAGGGCAATGGCGCGTCAGGTGGTTCTTGCCGCCGTTCTTCTGATGATCGCTGCTGCAGTTCAGGTGAGCGCGCAGACTCCGACTGAGGTGACCATCGGTTATGTCACCTACGCAGGCAACGGCTGCAATTCCGACAACACCAACTGGGTGCTGTCGAACGACTACAAGACTGTCACCTTCATATTAGGCGGGATGGTTGCGACCAAGGACGGGTCGCTCGCGGACAAGAGGAAGGCTTGCCAGATGTCGCTCTCTATGAACTACACGGATGGCTGGAGCGTCTCCATTGGTCAGGCCACGGCCCGCGGGTTCGCTGACATCCCCAAGAACTCCGAGGGCATCTACGAGACGCACTACTACTTCTCCGGACAAACGGGGACGGCGATGGCCGAGCGCAAAATCAAAGGCCCAATGGTTGGCAGCTTCGAGTTCACGGACGACTTCCTGCCGCTTGTCTGGAGCAAGTGCAACAATGCCGCCGACCTGAACATCAAGACGGTAGTGACATCGGGTGTGGTGGCGCTCGACTTCCAGGATACCAAGTTCCAGCTCATCTACAATCTTCGATGGAGGCAGTGTCCTCAAAATTGAGACCCCCGTTCACCATCACGCACTGAGGGTGGCGGGTGAGCGGGAGGAGATAAAGAGCGGAGGGGTGAGAGAGGAGGGTAGCCGATTCGTCAGGACTCACATCTGTGGAATCTGAGGGAAAAAGGCAACGGTCAATGCAGTGGCACTTTTGCGAAGATCATACCTACGGTTCCCGGGCACTCGTGTGAAGGGAGAGCATGGAGATGGCCGCGCGTTCCTAGCACTAGTTGTAAACGACGAAAGAACGTGTGGGTGCTTGTCTTCCAGGTGAACGAAAGGTAGATGCCACATCATGGCAGATGGGACGCCTTTCTTTGTCCCATCGCCAGATGCAGTCTCGCTGCACGTGCTTTAGCAGCTCGTTATCACATACCTTCGCTTTGTTCTCCCCTCCCTGCCTGTGGTCTGAATTGTACTATTTGTAGAGTCGGAAATGGTAGTTTCATCTACTGCGTGGCAAGCGGGATTACGGCTGACCCTCTCTCTCTCTCTCTCTCTCTCTCTCTCTCTCTCTCTCTCTCTCTCTCTCTCGCTCGCTCGCTCGCTCTCTTTCACTCTTTCTTTGTCGATAATCTAGTTTTCCTCTCTCTTCCTTGCGAGACACCGGATCAGTACCTCCCCTCTCATTGGACCAAATAGGATCTTTGTCTACCATTCAGTGTCGTTTATCTTTCTTTTGTCTTCCCCTCCCCCCCCCCCCCCCCCCCCCCCCCCCMCCCCCCCCTCTTCTTTTTTTTCTCCTTTGAGAAAACAACAATCACAAAAGCTTGCACAGGCAGAGGAGGGGGGGAACACCTGACTTCCGACAATTCTAAACAGCAGTCGGGCCCCTCGTCAGTAGGTATCGAACGATGAGTGTGGACAGGGCCGGCAGTGCCCTGTTGTTCTGAGAGGGATAGTTTCGTCAGAAATCTTGTAAGAAGAAAAGGTAGGGAGTGTAAATCTGTCCGTGGGATTTACCACAGTCATGCGAAATCCATCTGTCCCATCGGGTAAACTGTCCGTGGTGCACCCTGACCCCACGATTTGACTGTTAGTCCGTCCTCTATAACGGCTCATCCAGGTTTGTTTTTGGGGCCGGCATGACAGCCATACTATCAGGCCTTCAATCTGATTAGTGGTATCTTATTCAAGATAACGAAGAATTCTTTATGCCAGGCTTACTGGCTGTTCCCTTTGTGAACGAGTGTGCTCAATGACATACTGAATTATGAATGTGTCACACAAATTTGAGTCTTGGTGTGTTGTACATTTCTATAAAAAGCATCATCCCGACTGATACATGATGGCCTTTTGTCGTTTTTTTTTTTGGATGCAAGGTGGCTGGTGCTATCTGGCTTTCAATGTGCTGTTGCAATTTGGATTGCTGTCATTTGGCTGTCGCCCATTGTCCTTGCAAAGTGCTCTCTGTTGGTACAGAAAATCACACGATGTCTCTGCTAGCATCTTCCCCTGAATAGAACACACTATAATTACAGCTGTGTTTGGGACAACTTTCAGTCTATATACCCCGTGTTGATAATGGCAGTGCGTCCTGCTCGGGTGAAGACGGGGGCATCTTCCCCAAAACACAAGCGCACGTTCGTCATGGAAGTACAGATCGGACCGGAAACATAGCCTATATACATTCATCATGATCAGACGGGGGGGGAAGGAACATGGCAGCAGCCAAAATCGTGCAATTTCGTCTGTTTCTTTTCCCCCCTTTTTTTCACTTATTTTTCTTATAAAGGTGACGGCCTTGAGATATCATCACTGAGCTGAACGGGCCCAGTTTATATTTAGATCAAACAATTGTTTTATCCGTTTCTCTGACTGCATCTGGTTTCGAAATTGGGTCTGCATTTCAGCAATTCACCTGGGCGTGTGTACTAGATGAGCTAGGCCCGTTGGTAAGCGTCCAATTTTCGAGCAATCTTTGGTGGTATTTTTTTGCTTTTTTTCTATTAGGCCGTCTGATTCTGTCAAAAAAAAAAAAATCTGACGTGTCCATTTTGTGGCCGTGTGGACAACGCACGTCCACACGGCCACGTGGACATCTGAACTGTGGTGACGTGGACAGCTGTGCTGTGACCGCGTGTGGGACATGTGAGCTGCGACCACGTGGACATATACTAAGGCATCTTCGCCGTGTGATGAGACTGCCACGTGGACATACACAGGTGGAGATCTGTTTTGGCGGCCACATGGACAAACGGCGTGGCCACGCGAAGGTTTGTATAAATTGCTCTGTATCTGCCACCCATCCCCCGAATAGAACGCACCATCTCATTGTGACTGTACCAAAGCCGAAATCGTGGTTTTGTATTTCAACAGACTACCGACTTCCCCCGAACACAACGCACCCTCATTTCGGCTGCACCGGACTGGAAATATAGCTTGTAGACATTCAGACTTAGGGTGCGTTATATTCGGGGAAAGACGGCAGTTAGGGATACAATACGATGCAAAATAAATAAACTATGGTAGACTAGTAGTGCGGGGATTCGCCCTCACGGGGCCCTTATCAGACATGCAAGTGTTCTGGGCTGCTCCCCACAAAGAGCCTCATCCCCGCCCTAAGTGAAGGCGGGCAAGAATATCCACGAGAGCTCTATTTTGGAGATTTCTTCTTTATGTCGGTTATCAGACAGTTGCAGCACGCCAGTTAGTTACAGAGCAACGTGAGCCTCTCCTGGCTCTTTCCAAAAGAAGAAGATGCGTCGTACAGTTGAGCCCAGGGCCCGAGTAGTTGGGCCCTGGGCACACTGCGACACATCACGCACATAGATGGCAAGCCAATGGGAATGCGGCAAACACTTGCAGCGAGGAAGGCTGCCTGGACGTGCCCAACTGTAAAACGCCCAGGCCCGTAACAGCAAAGGTGGGCCTGCGTGCAGACACTGGGTCCCCACTGGAAGCTACTAGAAACTCGTGCAGACACTGGGGCCCGACTGGAAGCTACTGGAAACTCGTCCAGCCAGGCCCACGCAGCCAGATAGGGTCGCGCTTTCCATAAAGGAAAGTGCCCTGCCCAGACTTCGGATTCTGGCCTTGGTGAGCATTGTGGCCACGCTGCTGCACTCGAGCACGAGCAGCAGCATAAGCACTGCGGCCAGCGGGCGCACGGCAGCCATAGACAGGCTGCTGGGGCGCAGGCAGGTGATGGAGATGGCTATGAATCCCCCGTGGCCGACCTCACTGCAGGCACGACCGCAATCCGTGGCCGCAGCATAAGCACTGTGGGCAGCGGGCGCACGGCAGCCATAGATGGGCTGCTGGGGCGCAGGCAGGTGATGGAGATGGCTATGAATCCCCC